GGTCTTAGGTTTCATCTTCATGCCTTCTTAGACTAAGAGCTCTTCAAAATTTTGGGAAAATAGATCCCTTTAAAAGGTCATTTAGTCAACAGATACTCGTTGATTACATACTGTATCCTGGCCCATTGAGTTTGGGATGGATTGGATGATGGCTTCCCAAAGCTTACACTGGAGGAGATAGACAACAAACTAGCGAATGAGTCATATGCACAAATAGATTTGAAACACAAAGTCCTCTGAAGAGGCAAAACAGGGTCCTTTCATAAAGAACATGCCATCTACCTATTTAGGGGGTCATATCAGTTGACGTCTGAGGGTGTGATATTTAAGCCAAGATCTAACTACAAGAAACAGCAGCAACATAAGGAGAGTTCCAGCACAGCAACCTCCTATACCACGATTCAAAGGTGAGGACATCATGATGTGACTTCAAGAACTGAAAGAAAGATCAGGTGGCCCCTGGCAGAGAGGGGCTAGGGAGGGAAGCAGGGGCCAGACAAGCAGGACTTCTCACGCCAACAAGGGACTTGGCTTTTGCTCTAAGTGGCAAGGTAACCACTGAAGAGTTTAAACTTGGATATTGACATAATCCAATTTTCATTTTAAAAAATCACTGTCATCAATCATGGGTGGAAAATCTGAGGAAGAAGCTATGTAGATGCTATCGCAGTGGCCAAGGGTTCCTTAGACTAAGGCACTGACAATGGAAACGGAGGAAAACGGATGGATTTGAAATGTATGTCATAAATAAAATTGACAAGACTTGCTTATGAATTCAATATGGGCAGTAAGTGAGAGAAAAATATTGGTGTGACCTCCCAACCTCAGTCTTCTCAACTGGAGAGCTGGACCAGTAAGCCTCTCACTTTCTGAGACGGCAAAGACTTGAGGAAACAGTTACTATGGATGGGATGGAAATAAGAGGCTGGTGTTCAATGCACTGTATTTGAGATGGCTGGGATAGTCGTGATGGGCCAACCGAACACTACTGTAAGCAGCAGCCTGGACCGGGAATGTGGGGTTTCAATCCAGGAGAGAGGAGGAGCCCTCCAGAAACGGGTGCACAGAGAGAGGAGAAGCTGGAGGGCCAAGCCCAGGGGCTGTGCGAGCCGGGGTGGGGGGGAGCGGGGCGAGAGCTGGGAGCACCTGGCAGAAGTGTCCATGAGGGAGCAGGGGAGTTAGGGGAGATGCCGTCAGAAGCCCAGAGAGGAGAGCATCACTGACAGACAGAATGCTCAATACTGTGAACGCAGACCGAATGAATTAGGAGACAACAGAAAAACATCTAATGGCCTTGGCATCCAGGAGATAATTGGTGATATTAAAAAGAGCTATTTTAGTGCAAGGATAGAGTGGACACCAGGTCAGAACAGGTTCAAATGACAAGGAGGGGACATGATAAAAACAACTCAGACAGCACTTTCTGGAAGTTTGGCAGTGAACACAAAGCTGAGAGTCGGATCAGCATTAAAGGCACAGTGTGAAAGTCACTGACTTTTTTGTTTGCTTGTTTTTAAGGGGAGGATTGGATTATCTGTGCGGGTGGAAATAATCTAGAAAAAGGGAGAGACCAAAAACATAGGGAAGAAATGGAACAGCGGGACTCTGCGAAGAAGATTTTGTGGAGGCATTAACTAGGAACGGATGTGGAACAGCGGAAAGAAGCCAGGTAACAGGTAAGGCTGTCAGAAACAAACAGAGGACTTCCTAGAGAAGTGATTGAACACATGAACCAGAGAGACCCCTGCCGGAAGATACAGTCACCCAGCACAGACCAACAGACACACACAGAGTTGATCTTCACTATTTGTGGATTCCACATGTGGCAACTCCTCAACTTGCTCACATTTATTTGTAACCCCAATCAATACGGTGCCGTTGCGGTCATTCGCAGACACACAGAGGGGTGGACCTTCGAGCAGCATCACATACAGTCTCCAGCTGAGACTGAACAAGGCAACGCTTGTCCAGTACCCTTTATGCAGTCCATTCAGTGCTGTTTTCACACTCTTGTGCTTTTTGTTGCTCATTTTGTTATTTAAAACAGCCCCAAACACAGGGCTAAAGCGCTGTTGAGTGTTCCTAAACTCAACAAGGCCGTGATGTGCTTTACTGAAAAACTGTGTGTGTTAGAGAAGCCTCATGCAGGCCTGAGTTACAGTGCTCTTGGTCATGAGTTCAATGTTAGTGAACCCACAATTCATATTAAATGGCATGTCTTTAAATAGAAACACATGTGAAACAAGGTTATGTGCTGACTGATTGATGAAAATGTTGTGACCAGAGGCTCGAGGAATCTGACCTCCTATTTCCCTGAGCACCATGGTTCTACATCTGTATCTGCAATGACATGACATCTCCATCTACAGCCACAGACACACAGAGTGCTGAGCCCCTTCCGGTCCAGCAGAGAAAGAAACAGGAAACTGCAATGCTGGGAAGATGCTGCGATGTTGGTGGGGGTGGAGGGGAGGATGGGAACACAGAGGTATCTGTGCCCCTTCATTTAGAGGAGACATGGAGCACAGTGTAGGGAAAGTGAGGGACAGTGGGACAGTGGGTAGACTCCCAGCGTTCCTCTGTTATCCAGTGTGTCTAGCTCTGGGCTTAAAACCACACACCCATGTCAGTGAAGCAAGAGTCTGCAACTCACAGCCCATCCTTCTCAGAATGTGGTTAAACTCCAGCTACACTCCTCTGCCCAAACATCACCATCTTACATGAACTCTCAGGCAGAGAAAGTGGGGCAGGGTTTCTTTCTGTTGTACACAGGGTCACCATGGGTCGGAACCGACTTGACGGCACCTAACAACAACAATACTTTCCCCATTTCCTTTACATCCCCAGTAATATTACAGCTCAACTCTACTGAGAGATTCACCTTAC